TACTAAACTATTGGTAAAATGTTTTCCACACTCACTGCATTCATAAGTTCTTGCTGCAGTGTAAACTCTCATAAGCACAATGAGGTAAGATTTCGTGTAAAGGATTTCCCACATTGTGCGCATTCATAAAGCCTCTCTCCAATGTAAACTGTTCATTGTTGAATAAGTGCATGCCTAGCTTAGGCACCTAGTGGGGTTGGGAAGAGAGGATAATCCAGCAGGTGGCCAAGGCTTCTGAGGAATAAATTGACATGAGAAGGACATGGAGGCAAAGGTGTAATTGAAGGCAAATGACATGGAGTCCTGCTGTTTATTTGCTGCTCTACATGGTGAGAACATGGAGCCCCGCACGTCAGGTCCAGAGACATCGCATCAGCCCTCTTTCTTACTCTGGTTCTCTGAGACAGTGATCAATGTAGCCATGTGCTTAGAGCAAGCACCAGGATGAGTTATTTCTTTGAGGTGTTGCATCTGGGAGTAGAATGAGCAGAGAAGGGATGTATGTGTTTAGAGGCAATAGCACCTTATGGTTTTAGAAGAGATCCTACTAATAGAATGAAACATCTCCATTATGACAGAGCATGATCTTTGAGGGCATGGCCAGCAACTTCAACCAGAAATGGGGGCTCCTCGGTGAGGCTCAGAGGTTGATGTACTGTGATTCGATGCAGTATTCACAGGTAAGACCCTCCCTCCTAGAATCCTGGGCTCATCTCTGTCCTCCCTCCCTCCCCAGTCATTTCTGTCATTCCACAGCTGGACCATGGCTCTAGTAAGGTCCACTTTCTAGCATTTGTGCTGAGGACACCAGTGCTAAGTGGTGTGCTCTGCTCCCAGAAAATCCCTCCCACAGCGGCCCCATCACCTAGTTCAAAGAAAGAAGGTGAGTGAGTGTTAGGGTGTCAAGAATCTTGCGTTCAGCTTAATGACTCTCACCTGGCTGACATTCCTTGGCCTGGGCACAGTGTGAGAGTTCAATGTTTCAGGTTCTGTCCCCTTCCTCTGAGACAGGCTAGTAAGCCAGGACGAGTGGAATAGGGAAGCTGAACACAGTGGCTGAACAATTTCCAGCTACATACAGAAAGGCGCTTCCTCAGAGAAAATATCTAGCCCCAGAAAAGCAACAAAACCAGGTGGGCAATGCCAGGACCAGCTGCAATGACTAACGACCCTCTGCTGTGGCACTTACCAATCAGTAGAGACAACAACCCTTAAAAAGCAAACCCGGAAAACTGAGGAATATTTTGTGCAACCCTCCCCTGAGACCTGTCTACGATATCTGACTGCAAGAAAGAAAACCCTCAAGACAGCTGCAGCTCGTGTGGCTCATCGGTTGGTGGAGTATCCTCCTGTAAAGCAGATTCTATTCCTGGTCCAGGTGCATATGGGAGGCAACCAATCGATGTTTCCCTATCGTATTGATGTTTCTCTGTCATAGTAATGTTTCTCTGTCACACGTCCTCCCTCTCTCTAAAAAGCAATGGAAAAATGTCCCTGGGTGAGGATTAAAAAAAAAAACCAAAACAGCCCAAACTCCTCACGATAAAGAGCCCAGGGGGTAGTCTTTCTCTGGGGAGCAGGTATGCACCATTCCCCTCCCCCCTTTTTTTCTCCCACAGGACTTGCAGCAGCAGGTCAGCCCGGAAACTGTCTCCAAGGCCCCCTTTTCCCTGACTTCCCAGTGAGCTAAGGCAGCTCGCGCAGGTTCTCCTGTTGCTTCTTCGATGCCAAGTTCTTTCTTGTTTCACTGTCTCCAGCTTTAATACCCTCATAGTATCTGGGCTCATGTTGCAATTTTTTTTTTTGGCACGACGTCAGGAACCCAAACACTACCCCCCAGATGCAGCTCTGCTCAGGATTAGATTCCCTGTGTGGTAACACCTCCAGGTATTTCCTGGTGGCTGCTAAGAATTGCAAGCACTGTCATGATTACTGTTAACATGGTCAAGGGGCTGTTCTGATAAGTACCTTTTTCAGGTTTCTGTAACATAGTTTTTCCTACCTTCTGCTGTGTGCTGAGCCACAAACTGGTTATTTTGTTTGCTGGTCTCCTTTTCCCTTCAGTTTTGTGGCTCTGAATTTCATTTGAACCATCTCTTTAAAAATTTAAAGATAGGAACAGCCTTTTGTTTTTTTTGAAATGCAAACCAGACATAAAGAAAGCTCCTCCACCTCTGCAGCCCATGTGAGGGGAGGAGCCTAACTTCAACGTTCAGCCGACTACAATGTCAAAAACCATATCCTCTCACAAGGATGTTTGTCTTTCCTCTGGATGAAGCCTAAGGTGAACAGGGTAAGCAAATGCTGCTGTCGTCTGGTTACTTGGGCACTAGTTGTTTTTGTATTTTTAAGTGTATTTTATTGATTACGCTATCACAGTTTTCCCAATTTTTTTCTCCCTTTCACCCCTCCTGTACCCCGAACTCCCCAACCCTCCGGCGTTCCCCCTCCCTCATTCATGTCCATGGGTTGTACACACAAGTTTTTTGGCTTCTGTTTCCTACACCATTCTTCACCTCTCCCCATCTATTTTATGCCTACCCTGTTTATTTTTAATACATGCCTGTACAGGTTTTATCCGCTTAGCTATTTAGAGGGGTGAGATTTGTCTGTCTTTGCTGTTTCTTACTGGATTGCCTGTGATGCACATCAAACCTGACTTTACTCAATCATAAATATGTTGCTCTTCCTACTCCCCTCATAGAGGGGATTTCTGGCCTTGGAGTAGATGTTGTTTGTATTTGCTCAACAACCACCACCACACACCTGATAGCAGAGACCCAACCCCAAGCACCCATCTCAGCGAGAGGGGACAGGGTGTGACAGGACAACACACAGAGGTCAGGAAGCCCTCCTTTCTAGGAACATCATTGACAAGGATGAGCCCTGTGGGTTTTTTTTTTTTCTGGAACCAAGAGGAGGGCAGCTCTGCTCTGTTTAAAGATAAACATGTACATTAAAACTTTGATGATTTTATTTGAGAAAACAATTGTCCAATCAGGCAGCACCAAACCAGACTCCGGGAAAGGCTTTGGTTGAGCAGAAGGCAAGTAAAGCAAGAAAATGATTGGACTGGCTCTAATGTAAGGAGTTGCCTCATTTCAAAAAGCCTAGTTGACTGTGATTGGTTGTTCTTTCGATTTCTTACCATTGAGACATTTACAAGAATTTACTCTGAATTAGATTTTCAGTTTGCTCAGGCATAGCAGTGGACCCAGCTTAGCCTAATGGCCTCCTTGTTTAATTATATTTCTAAGCCAAAGAAGCAGGTTGCTAGGCAACTTCAGTGTCTGGAGCCCTCACAGGGCTCCCAGGCAGTGGAGGTCCTCAAGCCCTCGTCACCATTAGCCAGCTTGGCTCACTGCACACACTCTGAGGGTGTCCACTAGGAAGCGTAGCTCTGCTGCTCCTCCGAATGAGCACACCTGCAGCCCCACGGACTGGAGCAGAAGGGAAGCAGCCTGGCCTTCCCTAGGAATCTTCTCAGGGGCTGCACAGACCAGTCCATCAGCACCTAGGGGCTCATTAGAAATGTGGCTTCTCAGCCCCAAACCCAAAACCTACCCACTCACTTTGGGGGCAATGCCCAAGAGTCAGTGTTTTCAGACACTATCAGTGGTGTCAGTGCAGAATAAGGAGAAGTCCGTCCCTTTCTACAGTTCCCGTGGACAGGGCACCCAAGACTCATGGCACATACAAAAAGCAACCAACGAATGTATAATAAAGTGGTGGTTGGAGAGCTACGATTCAAACGCAGGCCACTTGGGGAGTCTCATCACTGTGGTCCTATTTGCCTCCCGCAGGCTTTGAATGTCCAGACCATCCAGATGCCGTCTGGTCCCCTGTCTGTTCCAGTCCACCAACTATACACCAGGAAAATGAGCAATTGCTACAAAGCCAGGCATAATAGTATTACTGAATGTCTGAACTTAAGATACAAATGGAGCCCAGCTGGTATAGCTCAGTGGATTGAGCGTGGGCCTGCCAACCAAATGGTTGACAGTTCAATTTCCAGTTAGGGAACATACCTGGGTTGTGGGCTGGGTCCCTGGTGGGGGGGTGTGAGAGGCAGTCACACACTGATGTTTCACTCCCTCTTTTTCTCCCTCCCTTCCCTTCTGTCTAAAGATAAATAAATAAAATCTTTAAAAAAAAAAAAGGAAAATGGCCCTGGCTGGTGTGGCTCAGTGGATTGAGCACTGTCCTGCAAACTAAAAGCTCACCAGTTCGATTCCAGGTCAGGGCACATGCCTGGGTTGCAGGCCAGGTCCTCAGTTGGGAGCATGCAAGAAGCAATTGATGTTTCTCTACTTCTCTTTATCCCTCCTTTCCCCTCCCTCTAAAATTAAATAAAGTCTTAAAAAAGAAAAATAGTCAATGTCTATAAAATAGGCAAAAGATATCAGCAGACATTTTACCAGACATTACACATAGCAAATACATATGAAAATCTACTCATCAAGAAAGCTTAAGAAAATGCAATTAAAACAAAATAAGATAGCACTACAAACTATTTTAAAAAGCTAAACTAAAAATAACAAAAAAGTATTAATGATGTTGTGGAGCAATGGAACTCCCATAAAGATAAAAATGCAGCCCTGGCTGGTGTAGCTCACTGAATTGAGTGTGAGCCTGTGAAACACACGATCGCAGTTCAATTCCCAGCCAGGGCACATGCCTGGGTTGCAGGCCAGGTCCCAGCAGGGGACTCACAAGAGGCAACCATACATTGATTGATGTTTCTCACCTCTCCTTTCCTTACCCTCTAAAGATAAATAAATAATTAAAAAGAGAAAAAAAAGATAAGAATGCAGACAAGTGCGATCATGTTAATCACAATGTTAGTTTCTTCAAAAGTTAATACTCGCCTGAGACCCAGACATTAAAAAGTATAAATTACTGACAAAAGATAAATAAAACACTCACAGAAAGAATTGTACACATAGGTTTATGCAACCTTCATTTATTATAATAAAAAAAAAGGAAATACCCCAAATGTTCATAAAAAGAGGAATGGATAAACCAATTGTGGTATATCCAAAGATAGCAAAAATATAAAGGAAACAAAAAATAAATAAACATTTAATGATTCCATCATATAAATTATAGCAAATACAAAATTATCAATACTAAGGGAAAGTAAGTCAAGTTATTTAAAGGGCTGTGACGTGCAGGGAGAGATTCAAAAAGAACAAGAGGCAAAAATATACTGGTAGGTTAAGTCATTCCCATAACTGTGATGATGCTTTCAGTTTCATATGTATCTCAAAATATCAAATATGGCCCTGGCTGGTGTAGCTCAGTGGATTGAGCTCGGGCCCGCGAACCAGAGTATCGAGGTTCGATTCCCAGTTGGGGCACATGCCTGGGTTGCAGGCCGGTTCCCGGCAGGGGACGCACGAGAGGCAACTGTACATTGATATTTCCCTCCCTCTCTCCTTCCCATCCCCTCTAAAGATAAATAAAATCTTTTAAAAATATATTAAATATGATGCTTTAAATATGCACAGTTTATTACATGCACATTTGTTTTCCTGCCTGTGCAACATGGCCTTGGGTGAGCATCGTCACAAGAATTCATAAAACATTTATTTTCTATAACAAAGACTTCAGGCACACCAGATAAACATACCTGGCCCTGACTGGTGTGGCTCAGTGGATTAAGTGCTGGCCTGCAAACCGAAGAGTTGCCAGCTTGATTCTCAGTGAGGGCACATTCCTGGGTTGCAGCCAGGTCCTCGTTGGGGGCATGTGAGAGGTAACCTATCTATGTATCTTTCTCACATCGATGTTTCTCTCCTTCCCTTTCTCCCTTCCTTTCCCTCTCTATCTAAAAATAAATAAAATCTTTTAAAAAATCCAAAAAACAAAACATGCTTGGAGATCCTAATATTTGTGTGCACACTTATCCCGCACAGTGTTACAGAAATGCTTGTGTATTTACGAGCACATTCCATTGTGTTGGCTAAAGTCTCCAATCCCTACAAATCCAGTGCCATTTCAGTAGCAGTTACAGTTTCCAGTAACCCCAATGATCCAGTGATCATCACCAAAGAAATTCAATAATCAGAACACATGGTTCATTGCAGGACCTAGGAAACAGGTTCCCTTCAACATCCCCTGAGGTTATCCCTGTGAACAATGAGAAAATTCATGCTGATCCAAGAAGCACTTGAGATTGTCACATCTGACTCCTCCACAGAGTGATTTTTTTTTAAATTTTAATTTATTTATCTTTAGAGGGGAGGGGAAGGAGAGAGGGAGAAAAATATCAACGTATGGTTGCCTTTGTGCGTCCCCTGCTCGGACCTGGCCTGCAACCCAGGCGTGTGCCCTGACTGGGAATGGAACCGCGATCATGTGTTTCACAGGCCCACGTTCAATCCACTGAGCCACAGCAGCTAGGGCGTCACAGGGTGATTTCTAAATCTCCTAAAATTCATATCTTCTAGGCTTCATACAAAGACCAAAAAGCCATGCAGTTCTTTCTAGAAAGAATTCAAATTTGGCAAAAATGGGTGAGCTGTATTTCGCCATTATAATGTCCTTGGAAAAAACACAAAGTTGGGGATCCTCATTAAAATGTTCACTTTTCATACTCGTGGAGCCAAACTCTGTTTATGAAATATACCACTCACTAAACAGAACTCAGAAAATAAAAGAGAACTGACACCAGTGAGGAATTAAACAGTATTGTACAAACCAAAGCAAATGTGCAGCAAGGAGGTCAAGTTGGTAACTTGGAAGCTGGAAAAATTCCTGGGAGAACATGGCCCTCCAGCCAGACTCATGTGATATTCTCTGAGCCAATAAAGGGTTGGATTTCTGCCCAATGTGACTCCAAAGACCTCAGGAAAACTCCTCTTTTCCTCCAATACATGAGAGAACACAAGTCAGCACAGTGGGATGGTATTGGACACAAACTGTGGGGACCTGCCACATGGGAGTCTGAAATGACTTTGACAACAGAAAATGGTGAAGAGCCCCGTGCAGGTTAGAAAGTACAGCATAGACACACGATTCCCACACAACTAAACTTATGGCGAATGTCCCAGATGTGGACAACTGGGTGTACGAGATCAAATTCAGACAGATGGCTTCTCATGGTTTATTCTAGTGTCATTATACTGGCAAGAAAAGTGCACATTCCCTTGCACATCTAGGGTCTTTCTCCAGTGTAAATTCTACACTGTATAATAAGGTAAATTCTTTAAGGATTTTCTTCATTCTGTGCACTTATAAGGCCTTTCTCCTGAATAAATTATCTGGTGGTGAAAGACTGTGAAGCTATGGGTAAAGGATTTTTCACCTTTGCCACACAATAGGCCTTCATCCTGTGTAAATTATCAGATAACAAACTCCCAATAAAACATTTCCTACACTCCATACACTTATAAAATCATTTTGCAGTATGAAGCCTCGGGTGTTAAGAAAGGTAAAATCTATGGCTAAAAGAGATTTCCCACATTTTTTAACTCACATACCTTTCTACAGTGTGAACTGCCCAGTGTTAATCGGACTGGGAACTATCCTTACTGGATTTCCCACATTTGCTGGACCATAAGGCCTTCATCTCGTGTGAACTCGCTGGTGTACAAGAAGGTGATGTCTCTGGATAAATGATTTCCCACACTCACTGCACACATAAGGCCTTTCACCTGTGTGGGTTCTTTGATGGCGAATGAGTGCAGAGCTCTTGGGAAAAGATTTCTTACATTCACTGCACTCGTAAGGCCTTAACCCAGTGTGAATACTCTGATGATAACGGAGGCCAGAGCCAGAGGAAAAAGATTTCCCACAATCAGTACATTGGTAAGGCTTTTCTCCAGTGTGGACTCTCCAGTGTTCAATGAGGTAAGAATTTGCTCTAAAGGACTTCCCACATTCAGTACATTCATAAGGCCTTTGGCTTGTATGAACTCTCTGATGATCACGGAAAGCATAACTAGAGGTAAAAGATTTTCCACATTCATGGCATTCATAAGGCCCTTCTCCACTGTGAACTCCCTGATGATAACGGAGTTTCCTCCTAGTGGTAAAAGAAATTCCACATACACTGCACTCATAAGGCCTTTCTCCTGTGTGAACTCTTAGGTGTATAAGAAAGTAGCATTTTTGGATAAAGGATTTTCCACATTCACTGCACTCATAAGGTTTTTCTCCAGTATGAACTCTCTGATGATTTCTCAGGTTAAAACCAGATGCAAAAGATTTTCCACATTCATTGCACAGATACGGCCTTTCTCCTGTGTGAACTCTCTGGTGTGTAAGAAGGTGATGTCTTTGGATAAAGGATTTCCCACAGTCACTGCACTCATAGGGTCTCTCTCCTGTGTGTACTCTCTGATGATTACTAAGGTTGGAACTAGCTGAAAAAGATTTCCCACATTCGGTACACTGATAAGGCATTTCTCCTGTATGAATTCTCTGGTGTAAAAGAAGGTGATGTCTTTGAATAAAAGATTTCTCACATTCACTGCACTCATAGGGTCTCTCTCCTGTGTGTACTCTCTGATGATTACTGAGGTTGGAAACAGATAAAAAAGATTTCCCACATTCATTGCACTGATAAGGCCTTTCTCCAGTGTGAACTTTCTTATGATAATGAAACGCAGAGCTAGAGGTAAAACATTTCCCACACTCACTACACTGATAAGGCCTTTCACCCGTATGAACTCTCTGATGTTGGATGAGGTTGGACCTTTGGCTATAAGATTTCCCACATTCAATGCACTTATAGGGCTTTCTTCCAGTGTGAACTCTCAGATGATAACGAAGGCCAGGGCGAGAAGTAAAACATTTTCCACACTGACTACACTCATAAGACCTGGATCCATTGTGAACACTCTCATGATAACGTAGGCCTGGACGAGATGTAAAAGATTTCCCACATTCACTGCATTCGTAAGACTTTCTTGCACTATGAACTATCTGGTGTTGAGTGAGGTGCGATTCATGGCTAAAGGATTTCCAACATTCAGTGCACTCATAAGGCCTTTTTCCTGTGTGTACTCTCTGGTGTAGAATGAGTACTGAACTACTGGAAAAGGATTTCCCACACTTAATACACTCAAAAGGCCTTTCTCCTGTATGTACTTTCTGGTGCAAAATAAGTACCGAACTATTGGTAAAACATTTCCCACATTCATGACACTGGTAAGGCCTTGTGCCAGTGTGAACTCTCATATGTACAATGAGGTAAAATTTTCGTCTAAAGGCTTTCCCACATTGCATACACTCATAACGCCTTTCTCCAGAGTGAACCATCCGTTGTCGTATAAGGATGGATCTATGGCTGAACGACTGCACACATTCATGGCACAAGTCATGTATTTTTTTAGTATGATTTCTCCAGGGGTAAATAAAGACAAATTTTCGGTTAAAGGACTTTCCACATTTGCTGCACTTGTACTGCCTTGCCTGACAATGAATTCTTCGATGACGACTAAGGGTTGAGGTTAGCCTGAAAGACTTGCCACATTTGCCACACACATGAAGATTTTTACCAGTGTGAACTCTCTGGTGAACAACTAATGAGGACTGATTCCTAAATGCTTTCCCACATTCAGGGCACACAAAACACTGTCTTCCGGTGTGGATGTCCCGGTCCCGAGCATGTGTGTGTCTAGGGCTAAAGACTTTCTTACATTCTCTCCAGGTCAAAAGAGTTCTTCTCTTTTCTATAGTTTCCCCACATTTGGTGATTCTGTTGGGCTCTTCCCTGGTGTAAGTCATTTGCTGCTGTAGACGTTCTGAGGTGGCCAGGAAGTTCTTCCCAACTTCATCACAAAGAAAGGGCTTTTCTGAAATACGGAATTTATGGCTCTTCACAAACAAGGCCCTGTCCATACTGCTTCTCAAGGGTTTCGCTCCAAGGTGCTGCTCCTGGTGTGTCTGGAGGTTTGCACTAAAATTAAATTGTTTCATACACACCCCACACCTCAACACTGTGTGGCTGTGTGGTGGTCCTCGGTGCTCAGCCAACTGGACTATGTCTCTCAAAACTGGACCACAAGTCTGACAGAAGTGGGCCTTCAGGGAAGACAGAGCTGCCCTGGAGGTGCTGGCCTGTGACACTCCCACAGAAACACTCTGTTCAAAGGGGGCTTCTACATCCTCTGATCCACAGCAGCCACCTGAATGCAAATAAACGCTGGTGAAGTACATGTTGACTATCGGAATGGATCAATGTCATCACAAATATACATTTGTTACATCAGGAGTAAGTAAGTCTAGGGGATGGTTTTCAATGAGGGGAGTTAACATGTGGGTGGGGAAGTGGCTCCTGAGCATTACCCACCTCTAAGACAAAAGAATGTAAAGTTCTCACCAAGGAAAGGATACAAGAATAAAGTGTAACACAAAGAAGATAAGCATGTTCTAAAATTTGTTCATTGGGCCCTGTCTGGTATTGCTTAGTGGATTGAGTGCTGGTCTATGAACCAAACGGTTGCTGATTTGGTTCCCAGTTGGGGCACATGCCTGGGTTGTGGGCTAGGTCCCTGGTGGGGGGTGCATGGGAGGCTACTACACATTGAGTTTTTTTCCCTCTCTTTCTCTCTCCCTTCCCCTCTCTAAAAATAAATAAATCTTGAAATAAAATAAAATAAAATGTGTTTCTTGGAGGAAGGATTCCTGTAGGAACATTTCTGCTTGTGACATAAGGCTGTGTAGAACACATCAAACCCAGAAAAAAATCAATTGCAGCAGACTACCTGCCATTCAAGGCCAATGTAAGGATGCATGCTAATCTCATGACATGTGCGGACCAACAGCACAGAGCAATAGAGGAAGAGATGAGAGAGATGTGTGAGATATGCAGTCCAAAGAGGAGGAGATTCTCCATGGGCTACAAGCCAGGGTATATGTAACAAAGTTATAAAATGAACTATTTAGCAAAGTGGCAATATTAAGGAAAGAAAATTAGAAATGGAGTGCAGCCCTGACTGGTGTGGCTCAGTTGGGCGTCATTTTGAAAAGTGAAAGGTCAGGGGTTCTATTCTCAGTCAGGGCACATACCTGGCATGGTGGGCCTGGTCTCCATTGTGGTGTATGTAAAAGGTAACCAACCAATTTTTCTTTCTCACACTGCTGTTTCTCTCTTGTCTCTTTCTCCCTCCCTTCCTCCCTCTCTAAAATTAAATAAAATCTTTAAAAAATAAAAAAGAAATGTGGTTCAGCACTGGCAATGACAACAAAACATGGTTTAAATGAAAACAGTCCTGGTTTGATCAAAACAGTGCTGAGCCCTGGCTGGTGTGGCTCAATGGATTGAGTGCTGGCCTGTGAACTAAAGGATCACTGGTTCGATTCCCAGTCAGGGCACATGCTTAGATTGTGGGCTAGGTCCCCAGTGGAGGGTGCCTGAGAGGCAACCACACACTGATGTTTCTCTCCCTCTCTTTCTCCCACCCTTCCCCTCTGTCTAAAAATAAATAAATAAAATCTCAAAAAATAAAAAAAATAAAAAGAAAACAGTGTTGACATCATACCCTACCCAACTTCAACACTATCAGATGCCTGTGAGTTCACCTTGCAGCCTCAGCTGTTGAGAAATACTACGGTAAACATTTGCCATCGTTGACCTCAGCTGTCAGAGCCAAAACTGCCACACACGGGCAGTCCAGTGACCTCACAAGCAACCCAAAGTGAAGACCTTTATACACCAAAAGACTCTGTAATGGAAGGAAAGGGTGACTGATCCATCAAATGTGGAGACATCAAAAGTTTGTAAGGAACACACAAAAAAAGCAAAGAATCATGGTAGCACTGAAGGAGCATAGTGAGTGTCCAGCAAGTGAAGGCAACAAAGTCTGGACAAAGAATTCAAAATAACCCTGGCTGGGTAGCTCAGTTGGTTAGTGTGTAGTCCTGGTATGTCAAGATTGCAGGTTCGATCCCTAGTCAGGGCACATACAAATATAAACTAATGACTGCATGAATAAATGGAGCAGCAAATCATTGTTTCCCTCTCTCTCAATCAAATCAATAATAAAAAAGAATTCAAAATAATTTTTTACAGAAGCTTAGTGAGCTCCAAGAGAACAAAGAGACAACTCAGGGAAATCAGGGAAAGGCATGAAGACATCAACTTCAGAGAAAAACTTTTTTAAAATTCAGTTTTTTTCCTCATTATCATTTATCCCCACTATACCTTCTTCCACCTCCACCCACCCACCCACCCACCCACCCAAGAAAGAAGGCCCTGGCTTCTTTGGCCCTTGCTGGTGTGGCTCTGTGGATTGAGCACTGGTCCATGAACAGAAGGTCACAGGTTTAATTGCCAGTCAGGGCACATGCCTGTGTTGCGGGCCAGATCCCCAGTTGGGAGTGTACAAGAAGCGACCAATCGATATTTGTCTTGCACACTGATGATTCAAATCCCTCTCTTTCTCCCTCACTTCCCCCTCTCTAAAGTATTAAAAAAAAACTTTTTAAATTAAGCCTTTTAATTATTTTTATTACTCAAAAAAGCTTCATATTTTTTTTCATTTAGCTTTCTGATTCTGTGCTTGAGTCTTCAATACTTTTGACAACAATTCTCTGCTCCTCAATAAGGAAAGTACACTTGATCCTGTCACAGACGCATTTAGCACGTGTGGATCCACCACAGGCCCTGCTGACATGTTTTTCCATGTCAGACAACCTCGTTAGAACTTTAGGTCTCACAGCATGAACTCTGTGAAGCTGGCCTGGGCACACGCCACGTGCAGATTTTGGTGCTTTCCCGACCTCTTTGGTATAAAGGTAAACAATTCTATTGCCAGGGGTTTGGGACAACCTAGTTTTTTTTTTCTTTCTTTCTTTCTTTTTTGAGAGAGGGGAAGGGAAGGAGAAAGAGAAGGACAGATGGGCGCCTAGTTTTGTTAGAGGCTGTATTAGAAGAAAGCCTCCGACGATATGTCAAACGCTGGACCATCGTGAATACCTTCCTCCAGAGCCTTTACCCCCACGCCAGCTCAAAAGACTGCATCTGATAGATCTCAGCTGCCGCAACTCCCTGACAGCAGCTGATTGTAATGGGAGTAACTACCAAAAAAAAATTTATTAAAAAAAGAGAAAGAAATGGTGGAGGGGGTAGTTGGGGGTGGAAGAGGAAATAGGGAAAATGGTAAAGGAAAAAAATAAAGTAAAAATTAAGAAAGCAATCACATTAACAAATATCAAATACAATAAATACATACACATAAATATAACCTAGGAGGTGAAAGATCTAGACACTGAAACCTATTAAGACATAAATGAGGAAAAAAAAACTGAAGACACAAACAAATAGAAAGATATCCTATGTTCATGCACTGGAAAATTAAGATTGTTAAAATGTCCATACTACCATATATAATGTATGGACCCAATGCAATACCTATTAAAATTCCAATGGAATTTTTTGTGTAAATAGAAAGGGAATCCTAAAATCCACATGGAACAACAAATGGCCTCAAATAGACAAAGCAATCTTTTTTAAAAAGATTTTACTTATTTATTTTTAGAGAGAGAGAGGAAGGGAGGGAGGAAGGGAGGGAGAAAGAGAGGGAGAGAAGCATCAATGTGTAGTTGCTTCTTATGGGCCCCACCTGGAACCTGCCCGACAACCCAGGCACGTGCTCTGACTGGTAATCAACAGGTGACCCTTTGGTTCACAGGCTGGCATTCAACCCACTGAACCACACCGGCCAGGCCAACATTCTTGAGCAAGATCAAAAGTAAAAGTACCACACTTTCTAATTTCAAACTATATTACAAAGCTACACTAATCAAAAAAGTATGATACTGACATAAAAGCAGACATACAGGGAGATGGATTAGAATCAAGAACTCATTCAAGAATTGCATATATACTGAGAAGAATTGCATACCACCCTGGCTGGTGTGGCTCAGTAGACTGAGTGCAGGCCTGTGAACTGAAAACTTGCTGGTTTGATTCTCGGTTGGAACACGTGCTTGGGTTGCCAGCCAGGTCCCCAGTTTGGGGAGTGCAAGACACAACTGATCACTGTATCTCCAGCACATCGCTGTTTTCTGCCTCTCTTTCTCCCTTCCTTCCCCTATTTCTAAAAATAAATAAATAAAATCTTAAAAAAAAAACAACATCCTATGTATACATATGGTCAACTGATCTTTAACAAAGGCAGCAAGAACACAGTGGGGAAAAAAATAGTCTTTTTCAATAGTGCTGGGAAAACGGCATACTTACATGTGAAAATATAAAATTGGACCCCTATCTTTCACCACTAACAATAAACTCAAAATGGATTAGTTAAATATAAGACATGAAAATGTAAAACCCCTTGGAAAAAATACAGAATAAGTTACCTGACAGTGGCCTGAGCAATGATATTTTTGGATATGATACCAAAGGAACAAGGGGAAAAAAATCTAAACTAACCAAGTGGAACTACATTAAACTAAAATGTTTTTGCACAGCAAAGGGGAAAAAAATCAACAAAATGAAAAGGCAACATACAAAATGGAAGAAAATATTTACAAGTCGTGTAACTAATAAGGAGGTAATATCTTTCATGTATTTATTCATTAATTAATTTATTTATTTATTTAGAGAGGAAAGGGGAGGGAGAAGAAGGAGAGAAACATCGATGAATGACAGAAACATCGATTGGTTGTGTTCACGTGCCCTCAACAGGGGACCTGGCCCACAGTCCAGGCATGTGCCCTGGTCACTGGGAATAGAACCAGTGACCCCTGCTTTTCAGGCAGGCATCCAATTCACTGAGCCACACCAGCCAGGGCGGATATTACTTATGAGTAAAATATAAATAAATAAAGAATTAAACTTACAGAAATGGAGTAGAATGACAGGGCTGGGGAAGGGCACACAAGGGAGATATTGGTCAAAAGGTTTAAACCTTCAGTTATGAGATAAATAAGCTCTGAGGATCTAATGTAAATCATGGTGATTAGAGTTAATAACACTCTATTGTACACTTAAAAGTTACTAGGAAAGTATATCTTAAGTGCTATTATCCCGAAAATGATTATACTGGGTGAGGGAAATGTTCACTAACTTGATCATGGCAATTACTTCACAATATTTACCTATATCCATCATCACATCATACACTTTGAATACACACCATTTTACAGATCAGCAATGCTGAAACAAAACAGACAAAAGATCTAAACAAAACTCTAAAAACCATGCAAAAGGGCCTTAAACAGCCCATGGTAAATAGTAATGACGGCAACACTCCCGATTTGGGGCATTTCTAGCATAGGGAGGCTCTAGGAAATGTCAGCTAAAGGAAGGGATCAAAACAATTACTATAGCTGTGGACACAGTGACTGGCCCAAGGGGTGGGGAAGCATACGGAATGCATAAGGTCAATGTAATCCGTCTGGAAGAGAAGAAGGTATTGCAGCAGGTATTGGGGCTGCAGCCCAAAGAAGACGGCAGCGCAACACCCAGCCCTAGAAACACAGCAGGCTAGAGAAGGAAGCAGGGCCTGTGGTCCACATGTGAGAAGGACACAACACCCTCTGGGGAGAGGAGGGTGAGACAGGCCAGAGCCCAGTCCACGTCACTGGTGAAACTGTACAAGTCTTACCCAGAGAGGATGTAAGTGCAAAGTTCTCCAGCATCACATCGAGGTACAGGCGTCTCTGAGCCTCATCAAGGAGCCTCCATTCCTCCCAGGAGAAGTGCACAGCAACATCCTCAAAGGTCACGATGGCCTGTCAAGATGGGGACAGAGGAAACCACAAACTTTGTCTTTCTGAGAACCTCCCAGTCCACCATCTCACACATCTTCCTCCTGCTCATCCTCTTCCAGGGCTCTCGCAGCAGAAGGGATACCAGGCGCTGGAGACTGGGATGCCTGTTCACTTCTTAGGGAACCCTAAGTTCCAACTTAGGGAACTTGGGGTCCCACCCCAAGGCCTTGGGGCCATCACCTCACACGACCTACACGTATGCACGACACTGTGTACACACCACCTTCTAACATCCTTGGTTCCCACAGTCCCACCCCCACAGCCCTGCATCACAGGCCTCTCTCTCCACTCAGTCGGTGGGCGGCCCAGGGCACCCAGAGAGAGTGCTGGGGAGACTCAAACACCATCCAGCACAGCCCCATCCTCTGCCGGGCCCCACAGCCGGGGAAAGCCCGGTGAGACTCTGCAGTCCTCCCTGCTGGCCTCTGACCTTCGCTTCATATTTAGGTGCCCAGAAGGCCATGTAAATTTCAGACATGAACAACTCCGGTCCCCTCTGCATTGTACTTGCTGTCCCCTCAGTAGCCACAACCCTACTGTCTCCACTCAGCCTCCCTTGCAATCCCGGATTCCGGGCCTGGGGTGCCCCAGGGATGTGACAGGCGTCCCGCACCCTGGCTGCAGAGCTCAGTGGGGTGAGACTGGGGAAGACCCAGGGGACGCGCACTCACCTCCGCCGGGCGAGGCAGCGCGGATGCTGCCATCAGACTAGTGAGCAGAGCAGAGCGCGACTGGCGCGGGCAGAGGGTGAGGAGGGAGCGGCGGCAGAGGCGGGAGAGGTGAGGGGTCCCTAGATAAAGTGGTCCTAGTGTCGGCCGTGGCACCGGTCATCTGGGTGGCATAGCCCAGCCTCACGCCCGGGTCTGGGCGGTGAAAATAATAACGCGTTTGCGCCTACTTGTTTCGTCAGCTCAGTTCCCAAAGCTGCTGGGGAGCTGAAAAAAATGCCCGCCACAAGGAAGACGCCGCAAGCCCCGCCCCAAGTAGTTGTGATCGCAAGGAAAAACTTTCATCCTGATGTGTCATTGGCTCAACTCCGCCCCGGGTTTTCTGGGTAAGGTAGTTCCCAGGTCTCTAGAGGCCGCAAGAAGGGAGTTTTCCATCCTGGTCTACTACCAGGTTTGCTACGCAAGGAATTTAGCAAAAGCGATGTTCCTACTTCCTGAGGCAAAATAAATGTCTGCAGCCACAGACGTCATTTATTTTTCTGTGAAGCTCAGCCTGCCCCCAGGAGATAAAAATATTTTAGCCTGCCCCCAGAAGATAAAAATATAAAAACTATGCTCTCAAATCTCCTGATGTAAAAGGGCATATCCTTCTACAGAGTCATTCACATATAAAGTAGTACAGGCATAGTTGAACACGTAGTCATTGCTCTGCAAATGTCTGTAATCTGAGGTGAATATTTGTTATTTTGTTGTGCTATGATTGGCCAAAAACAAGAGAAATGACTCCGTACAGAGCCATGGCTCAGAAGACAGAAGATGGATATTCTGAATTAGGTGAACAACGTTAAGTTTGTGCAAGGGGAAAAGGAAGAGGTTCTATGGAAAGTGATATCCCAGGTTGATCGGGTCATAAATTCCTCACTGGGCAGGGCATGTGGATAGTCCCACCCTAGGACTAACCTTTTAGTGAAAGGTTTTAGGGCAGCCCGGTCCATTGTTCTTGTGCCTGGAGGTTAACACACCTTTGAAATACCAGAATAATAGCCCTCGAAGGGAGCATTAACCCTCAAGAGAGCACATAATGTGGTTAGGTATCCAGTAATCCAATCCTCACTTTGCTTTCGCAGAACTTCATGTAATTTTGTTTGTTTCCTCCTTCATTTCAATGGCATAAAAAAAAAATTGCAAAACTGTTATTCTCGGGAGCAGTTGAGATGTTACTCCTGTATGTCATATGTCATAATTTTGGCTCAAATATTTCTTATAAAAATTCTCTACAGCTTTGGACATTTCTTATGTTGACAAGCTCTACCTCTGGTTCCCATAGAAAACCTCTCTCTTGCTGGTAGAGTTCTGCCCATTGAGGAACACTTTCATCCACATAATATTTCTTACTCCATAATCTAAGATACACAGTTGTTCCTCAGTTTCCATCAGGACCCTGCAGACACCAAAATCTGTAGATGGTCAAGTCTTTTATACAAAATGGCATAGTCTTTGCATATATCCCCTGTAAAATTTAAATAATCTCTAGATTAATTGTAATTAATTGTAATACACAATGAAATATAAATGTTATATAAATAGTAGTTAAACTGTATTTTGAGGGAATAATGGCAGGAAAACTATCTGTTCATGTTTAGTACACACACGAACATGAAACCCTCATAGCCCTAACTACATAGCACATCAGGAAGAGCATAACATTTATTTTAGAATATTTTCCATTGAAGGTTAGTTGAATCCAAGGATGCAAAACCCATGAATAATGAGGGCTGACTGTACTCAATTTTTTCTTAAATGTTTTATTGATTGATTTTTAGAAAGAGGGGAAGGGCAGGAGAAAGAGAGGGAGAGGAGCATTGATGTGGGGGAGATACACAGATCAGTTGCCTCTCTCACGCCCCCAAGTGGGAACCTGGGCCACAACCCAGGTGTGTGCCCTGACTTGGAATTGAATTGGTAAACTTTCACTGGCTACTGAGCCACACCAGCCAGAGATCAACATTTTAAAGCTTTTATTTCCTTTTTAGAGAAAGGGGAAGGGAGGGAGAAAGTCAGAGAGAGAACCATCAATCAGTTGCTTCTCACATGCCCCCAACTAGGGACCTGGCCCACAACCCAGATATGTGCCCTGACAGGGGATCTAACCAGTGACATTTTGATTCACAGGCCAACCCTCAACCCACTGAGGCACACCAGCGAGGGTTGATTTTTTTCATGAGCAGATGTCTTTCTTAAATGGAGAACAAGTTAACTAATGCTATTTTGGTATGGGTCAGCTGATGACAAGCTTCATAGTCACAGCAAGTGTGCAAGCAGAGCATATGACCACTGAGATAAAGAGGGCATCTTAAGCCCATGATCTCATAGCCTTGTGATTATCATTTTTGATAAATGTCAGATGCAGTTCTTTTCTTATTCTATAATAGGTTTTTTAAATATATTTTACTGATTATTCCATTACAGTTGTCCCATTTTGCCCCCTTCCCTCCCCTCCACCCTGCACACCCCCTCCCCCATTACCCTCCTTTAGTTCATGTCCACCTGTCACAAGTTCTTTAGCTTCTACATTTTCCATATTATTCTTGCCCTTCCCCCTGTCTATTTTCTACCTACCATCTATGCTACTTATTCTCTGTACCTTCTCCCCCCTTCTCCTCCTCCCACTCCCCTGTTGCTAGCCCTTCATGTGATCTCCATTTCTATGGTTCTGCTCCTGATTTAGTTGTCCGCTTAGTTTGCTTTTGTTTTAGATGTGGTTGTTAATAATCGTGAGTTTTCTGTCCTTTCGCTGTTCATATTTTTTATCTTCTTTTTTTAAGATAAGTCCTTTTAACATTTCCTATAATAAGGGCTTGGTGATGATGAACTCCTTGAACTTGACCTTATCTGAGAAGCACTTTATCTGCCCTTCCATTCTAAATGAAAATTTTGTTGGATAGAGTAATCTTGGATGTAGGTCTTTGGATTTCATGACTTGGAACACTTCTTTCCAGACCCTTCTTGCCTGTAAGGTCTTTTTTGAGAAATCAGGTGACAGTCTGATGGGAACTCCTTTGTAGGTGACTGTCCCCTTATCTCTTGCTGCTTCTAGGATTCTCTCCTTCATTTTAATCTTGGCTAATGCAATTATTATATGCCTTGGTGTGTTCCTTCCTGGGTCCAACTTCTTTGGGACTCTCTAAACCTCCTGGACTTCCTGGAAGTCTAGTTCCTTTGCCAGATTGGGGAAGTTCTTGTTTATTATTTGTTCAAATAAGTTTTCCACTTGTTGCTGTTCCTCTTCCCCTTCTGGCACCCTCTATAATTCGAATGTTGGAACGTCTAAAGATGTCCTGGAGGTTCCTAAGCCTCTCCTAATTTTTCTGAATTCTTGCTTCTTCATTCTTTTCTGTTTGGTCATTTCTTTCTTCCTTCTGGTCCACTCCATTGATTTTAGTCCCAGATTTATTTCCATCACTGTTGGCTCCCTGTGCAATTTGCTTCATTTCACTTAGTGTAGCCTTCATATTTTCATCTAATTTGCGACTAAAATCAGCCAGTTCAGTGAGCATCCTGATCACCAGTGTTTTGAACTGCACATCCGATAGATTGGCTATCTCTTGGGTGCTTAGAAGTATTGGCTCTGGGGCTTTGAGCTGTTCTTCTGCTTGAGCCATAATGTTTTGGTCTGTTCATGCCTGTTAGGTATGAGAGTGAAAGCCTAGGTGTTCACCAGAGCTGGTCAACCCAGTCCCTGGGTTGTGACTGGGGGTGGGGTCAGAGAGGGAGCAATGGCATTTTTCTGCTCTCTCTCAGATTTCAGTCCCTTCTGCCACTTCCCACAAGCAAATCGGGCCCTTCTGGTGCTGGTTCCTGGGCGGGTGGGCTTGTGTCCATTCTAGGACCCTGTGGGTCTCTCCAAGAAACTCTCCTGTGAGGCTGGGAGCCTCTCCTGGCACCTCAACCCCCAAAAGTTTTTCCAATCGGTGCTTTTAGGCTTTATTTCCAGTCACTGGGGCCCTGGGTTGCGCAGTCTGTCTCACTGACCGTTTTTAAATCTGCCTGGTTTATATGCACGCGAATGTGTGTCCGCGGTCATCCAGCTGCCTTGTGAGCCTTACTGGGTTTTTGTCCTGCACCACCTGGGTTGCCAACCACTGCCTTCTCCTGCTGGGACCCCTCTCCGCCACTGCCAACTTTGCCCCTCCTACTGGTCTGGATGAATGGTTCGTTGTTGTTGGACTTTGGTAGAGTTTACTTCTCTGTCTGTTTGGTTGTGTTTTGTCTTTGTTGTCTTTAAATTTGGTCGTGCAAGGAGGCATAATGTTTCCACCTATGCCTCCACCTTGGCTGGTGCAGGTGCAGTGCTTCATGGGGGATTGGGTATGAACCAAAAAGCAAAGCGGTTTTGAAACACAAAGTTTCAGAAACTAAGTAATGTGTTTATGTAGTTATTCAAAGACAATGGCACAAATAATTCTGAGGAAATATCAGAGGTTGTTGAAGAAAGTTAATACCTCAGAGATTTTTTGTTTTTTTCTTGAAACATTAGTACCAGCACAGACACAAAATATAAAAGAAAAACTATGTGACTATACAGTAAATTACAATGCGATATAAAGAAGTCCAAGGAGAACTTCCGGACAAGATGGAGGTGTAGATAGACACACTGTGCCTCCTTGCACAACCAAAATAAGGACAACAATAATTTAGAAACAAAATAACAACCAGTACTGACAGAAAAATGAACTGTTTGGAAGTTCGACAACCAAGGAGTTAAAGTAGACATATTCATCCAGACCCATAGGAGGGATGGAGTCGGGCAGCCACGTGGAGAGGGGTCTCGGCAAAGTGGTGGCTGGTGGAATCCCAGGTGCACAAGGTGGCAGCTGGTGGACCCTGCAAGGCAATGGGTTGTGGAGGGGCACAGCACACAAGGCTGCTAGCAGACCAGGTGTTCCCACATTTGCATGCAGATAAACCAGACAAAACCAGGGAGTGAGACAGGCCCTGAAACCTAGGGCCCCAGCTTGGGTAAATAAAGCCTTAAAACACCAATTGAAAACACCTGTCAGGGTTGAGGTTCCGGGAGAGACTCCCAGCCTTACAGGAGAGTTCATTGGAGAGACCCACAGGGTCCTAGAACGTACACAAACACACCCATCTGGGAATCAGCATCAGAAGGGCCCAATTTGCTTGTGGGAAGCAGGAGAAGTGACTGAAATCTGGCAGAGAGAGGAGCAAGCGCCATTGTTCCTTCTCAAACCCCTGCCCCACATACAGGGTTATGACGCAAGGACTGG